AAATGGTTATAAGTTAGTTTAAAAAGATTAATAAAAAAGTTAAAATTGTTCTACAAAAGTTTAAAAATGAACTTAAGATTTACATGTTTTTTTCCTCGTTATTACATGTTTACAATGCTATTTACATATTTATAATATCGGGTTAGATTTTAAACTTTGTTATAAATTAGGTTCGAAGTCTTTTTTTTTTTTTTTAATAAAACTGTAACAAATTTAATTTATTTTTTTTCATACTTTTTTTTTTTTTTTTTTTTTTTTTTTTTTTTTTTTACAATTCTTGAAAGACTTTACATAAACTTTTTACAAATTTTTTTATACTTTTTATAACTTTTTTTACAACTTTTCTTTAACTATTTTACAACCTTTTTAAACTTTTTTTTATAACTTTTTAAACCTTTTTACATAATTCTTAAATTTTTCTTTACAATTTTTTATAATATATTTAAATTTTTTACAAGCCTTTTTAAATTATTTTCACAACCTAAGAAGATTCAAAAAAATGTAAGAAATAAATTTAAAAAGTTTGAAACGTAAGTAAAAATGTTTAAAAATGATAATTTCTTTTAAAGGTTTTATAAAAAGATTAAAAATTTTCAAAAAGCATTTTACAACTTGTGTTTTTTAAAATTTTTATTTATATTTTTTATAACTTTTCAAACTTTTTAACTATTTTTACTTTTTTTTAAAAAATATTCTTAGGTTATAAAAAAGTTATAAAATGGTTATAAGTTAGTTTAAAAAGATTAATAAAAAAGTTAAAAATTTTCTACAAAAGTTTAAAAACGATCTAAACTAAATTTAAAAAGAGTTAAAAATGTTTTAAAGTTTTGTATTTGGATTTTTTTTTTTTTCGTGCGACTTTGTTAACCACCCGCTGATTTTAGTTTTAATAAAATTTCGCCAATCTATAAAATATAAATATTAATAAATAAATAAATAATAATACCAACATTAGTATTACGGTTTTTCATGGGCTCATGGCCTACGCTGGAACAAATAAATGTTCTCCACTCCCTTGTGGTTAATCTATTATTATATGATGGTGCTCATTCCTCATAAAAAGCTACAACGTTTATTAAAAATTAAGAAAACTATTAAAGTGTCAAGAAATTTTGTCTTTACTTCATTGTTTGATTAATCATTTTGATTTCGTATAGAAATCAATCAATTATTTGTCTCTCACTTTTTAATCTTTTACGGTGAAAAAGATTATCTTGTTTCTTGTTAATATTTAAAATTTTAATAACTTTTTAATCATTTCTTTTGATAGTTATGATATTAATTTTTTTTTTGAAAAGACAAATGATATATAATAAAGGCTAAAACTAGCAAACAACTTGTCGGTGATAAAAGAAATAGAACAAGTACAAAGTATTAAGCGGGTTACAAGCATAAGAAGAGAGAAATACTCCACTCTACCTATTTAATCTCCTTTTTCTTACCCCTATGTTTTACCCAAACAAAAACTCGAGATTTGATATTATCAATAATAAATATTGGTGATAAGGATCTTTGATTGAATATCCGGTGGTTCCTCGCTTTCCACACCAACCATAGCATCCCGTAGCAAATTAAAGTCACCAGTTTTCTTTTCTTTTTGCAACTGCTCCAGGTAGAAGCAAAATTAAGCAAATCACCAACATTATTGGTTGAGACAAACTGTATATCGCACCACCTGAATATCCATTCTCGAGTAGTGTTAGCAAAACTACAATCGGTAAGGATATGATCAACACATTCGACAACCATGTTACATTGACCACAAATAAGGGAGTTGATGATGACTCCCAGCTGATTCAGAGCTAAATATGAAGGGATTCTGCCCAATTTTGCCCTCCACATGAATGTTAGAACTTTCAGTGGAGCTTCCTTAATCTAGTCGATACGATTAGAGGGAAAACTCATATTGTTACCAACCATTTTCGCACGCATAGCCCTGGTTGTGAATATTCCACTAGAGTGTAACCCACACTTCCAGCTGTCACTTGCCACGCCTGGTATGAATAGAGCAACCACTGCCATGAGTTGAGCCAATTCGAGTGACAAACCAGCACCTGCAGCATCACAGTCCCAATTCCACTCGAACCCGCTAAGTTGAATTCTTTCATCCACTTTACATCTTTTTTTGCTTTCAATCGAGTACAAACCTGGAAATCAGTCCTTAAGTTTTCCCCCATGAATCCATTCGTCTTGCCAGAATAATGTGTCAGTTTCCGAGCTTACTGACTTGTGAATAACAATGTTAAATGGGGCCCTTTCTTTTCAATATCCAATTTTGCCCCTGCTATATTGTTCCATACACCTACAATTATCTTTTTAGACAAGTGATTCGCAGGTTTATCACTCAGATTGTGGATACTAGTGATGACCTGGGGCCAAAGTGAAGTCTTATCCAACTTGTGTCTCCACCACCATTTCGCCATTAAAGAGAGACTAAGTGCTTGTAGTGATCCTACGCCGAGCCCCCCTCCCCCCCCTCCCCTTGGGTGCTATCACTTTTTCCCATGATGCCTATTTTATTTTCTGCTTATCAGTATTACTACCCCATAGAAATTGCCTTCTTATTTTCTCTAGAGAATTAGTCACTTCACATGGAGATTTAAAAAGGGAGAGATAATATGTGGGAAGGTTTCTCAATACTGAATTGATGAGTGTGAGTCTTCCACCGAACGACAATGTTTTAGCTTTCCAAGTGGAGAGCTTGGAATTAAACTTGTCCACAATAGGCTGCCAATTTTTTATATGGTTCATGTTAGCTCCGACCGAACAATGAGATAGTTGAATGGAAGAGTTCTAGCCTCGCCGCAGCCCAAGAGATTAGCCCAGTCCCTTGTTATATTTTGCGAGATCCCGATACCGAAGCCTTGGATTTATGAAAGTTCACCTTCAATCCCGAGGTTATGTGAAAGCACCTCAAAATTCTAGCTAAACTTTTGAGATTGTTTTGTGACCATTCACCCACAAATATTGCGTCGTCGGCATAAAACAAGTGTGAGATCAAAGGGTCACCATATCCGATCTTCACACCACAAAACAGACCTTTGTTACATGCCGCTCTCATAGTAACATTTAGTCCCTTCATAGCAACAATGAAAAGGAAAGGACTTAATGGTTCGCCTTGTCGGACACCCTTGTTGATGTCAAATTATGATATTATTTAAGTATTCAATTGAATGCAAACCTCAATTAAGAAAAATAAAATAGTAATGTAGCTTTACAGCTACTAGATTGTACCTTGACAATCGTTGGCCGATGTTTATACCGGCATTAAGGTGGTGTTTGTTGTGAATATGTAAAATGTTTTCGATCATTTTTCATGTTTATGGAATAAGACGTGGACTAAACTTTTTTTTTTCTATTTCTTCAGTCTTCATAAAAAATGTTTGTTTTTTAAAGTATATTGGACGGTGGTGGTAGTGGAGGTGGATTGGTGGTGGTGGCGGCCGCTATAGTGGTGGTGTTGCTGGCAAAGATGGTGGTGACAGAGGTGGCAAATTTAACATAAAACATAAAATATGTATGACAATTATTATTAATAAAATCTTTCTATAGTTCGTCCGTAGATGTAGATTGATTTCTCTCATCGAGTGAACCGCATTAGTTCCTCATGCTATTTATTTCTTCACATCTTTATTTGTTATGTTATGTGTGTTTATCGATCTTTAAACCCAACAATTAATATCAAAGCTATGGTTGAAGACGAGAATGTTAAGATAGATAAACTCCAATATCATGCTTCTAGATTTTGTAAAATGTAGTTTGAAGATTATCTATTTCAAAAGAAGTTACAACAACCATTGTTGGAGAATAAACCTTAAGCGATAAAGTAAGAGGATTGGGATATATTAAATCGACAGGCTCTTAGTGTGGTTAGGTTGTCATTGGTAAAGAACGTTGCTTACGACCTCACAAACAAGAAGATGGTGTCTGGGTTGATCAATGGATTATCCAACATGTACAAGACACCATCGACGACTAATGAGGTATTATTAACTCGACAGTTGGTTAGCACGAAAATGAAAGAATGAAGTTTGGTGATATATCACGTCAACAAGTGTAATTCAATAACATCTACTTGATATATGTTGAGATTAAATTCGAAAATGAAGCCCACGTGTTGTTGTCATTATGATCTTTGTCTGAGAGTTTATTCTATAAATATTGCAGTAGCAAATAGTTCATCATGAACCACTAAGCTTACCTCTGAAGGCATTCACGATGTGATCCTTGGCGAGGATATTGCAGAAGGAATGTAGGGGAAAGTTCTAATAATCTGATAAGTATAGAATACATGACTAAAAACTCAAATTGAGGGTGAAGGGGAGGGGGGGGGGGGTAATGTGACATTATATTTAGGGCTAGAAATTTTCATGTTTAAATTAATAAAATAAAATAAAGACAAAACCTCATAAATGGTGCATGTGGTTTCCCGAAATCAGGGATATAGTCTCTAAGTTTAAAAAACCTCATAGATGGTCCATGTGGTTTCAAACTTTTAAGAAATAGTCTCTTATCCACATAAAAAGACTTATATACTATTTTTAATATATTTTTGATTTTCTTTATTTAAATCTATTAAAAAATAAAATAAATAAAAACCCCACCTTGGGCCCACCTCTTTAACACACACACACACACTCTCTCTCTCTCTAATGTAGAACCTATAAACACAAACATACACACTTTAAAAAACCAAACCGTATAGCTTCATAGAGTGAAATCACTAGGAAAAAAAACCCTAAACATCATCTTTATACAACTGATAGCGGTTATATCTTTTTCCCCCTCTGTTTTCTTGAGTTCCATTGGAAGTTCAAATTGGGCAAGAAAAAGAACTCACTTGGCAACTCCCATGGTCCAGTTCAGTTCATACCCACTCTCCAATTACTTTAGCACAAAATTAGCGTCAACTACTTTGTTCCTAGGACATAAATCCATCTGATCATCATCTTTAACAAACCCAAATAGATTGTTGTCCTCCATCATGTGAAACCTTTCAACTACTTCACAAGTGAAGCGCCATTGTGTTCTACTGCCGCAGGTGGTGGTGGTAAGGTGTTTGATAATGGGAAAAATTGTATTATTAGAAAGACGAACCAGTGATCCGTGAGGGAGTGTTCCTCTAGAGATACTCGTTCTGTTAATTGTAGGAAGCTACAATGTGGTTGTTTTTCATCGTTGGCGTTGTCATCTGCTCTTGCTCCTACTTCAACTTCAACTCATTCTCCGACATTACATTATGTTCCCACTAGGGGTGTGCATAAAATTTCATAAACCGCCTGCACCGCATCATACCACACCGCATAATGCGGTTTAGAATTTTGCGGTGCAGTTTGCGGTTTAAAGCTACAAAACCGTGGTTTAATCCATAAATAGATTTCTCGAGCTTAGACACTCTATTAGGGTATTCTGTACTTACAAAACCCTATGGCTGACTCATGTAAATATCTTAAACCAAACTTCCATTATGGAAGGCGGTTTTGACATCCATTTGCCATATTTCATAATCATGAAATGCAGCAATGGCTAACAGAACCCTAATGGACTTAATCTTTGCAACTGGTGAAAAGGTCTCATCATAATCAACTCCCGGAGTTTGAGAAAAGCCCTTTGCAACCAGTCGTGCCTTATATGTGTGTACATTACCATCCATGTTAGTCTTTTTCTTGAAGATCCATTTGCACCTAACTGTCTTACGACCTGGTACATTTTCAACCAAGTTCCAAACTTGATTGTCATACATGGACTGTATCTTGTTGTCCATTGCCTCTTTCCATTTGGCAGACTCAGGGCATTGCATGGCTTCCGCGTAACTATTAGGTTCATCCAGACTTACCAATATCTAATCACTGATAAGTGTCTCACCTTCCGCAATAATATGGAAACCATAATAATGCTCAGGTGCATTCCTAACCCTTGTGGAACGCCTTAGAGGTTCAGACTTGTCAATTGGCTCAACAGGAGTTTCCTCCTCAGGTTGAGTGCTAGGATTTGAAGTTCCTTCACCACTTGACTCTTGAATTTCTTCAAGGTCAATTTGCCTCCCACTGTTTCCTTGGCTTATGAACTCTCTCTCTCTCTCGAAAGACACCCCTCCTTGCTACAAAGACCACATTGTTACTAGGTCTGTAGAAGAGGTAACCAAAGGATTTCTATGGGTAGCCACTGAAAATACACCTCTCACTTCGAGGTTCGAGCTTATCATGAATCTCGCATCTCACAAAAGCCTCGCAACCCCAAATATTGATGTGTTCTAGTTTGGGAACTTTACCAGTCTACATCTCATGAGGAGTTTTGGCAACTTTCTTTGTAGGGACTAGATTAAGGATATGGGCGGCAGTCTCTAACGCATACCCCCAAAATGATATTGGTAGCAAAGCTCGACTCATCATGGAACGAACCATATCCAACAAGGTTCGATTACGCCTCTTAGCCACACCATTCAACTGTGGTGTCCTGGGAGGTTTCAATTGTGAGATAATCCCACATTCACTACTAGAAAAACAGCCTTTTACGACACTCATTACACGTCGTAAAAGGCTCAGATGACGCGCAAATGCGCGTCAAGGAAGGCCCTGTCATAAAGAGAGACGACGCGCATTTACGACGCTCATTTACGACGCGCAATTACGACGCTCGTTTACGACACGCAATGCGTATCAAGGAAGGCCCTGTCATAAAGGAAGACGACACGCATTCGCGTGTCGTAACCTTACGACGCGCGTGTTAATGACACGCAATGTGTATCAAGAAAGCCCCTGTCAAGAAAGGCCATGTCATAAATGAAGATGACACACATTTTTGCGTATCATAATTTTAAATGATTTAAAAAATATATTATTAATAGATTTACTTATTTTCAAATTAAATATGTATTTAATGTTTCATAATAGAAAATAAAATATCATATACAAAAAATAGAATCCATTGCATAAATTTAATGTCATATAAATAATCATTCCATGGAAAGATAAAACAAATCAATAGAAGTTGTATCAAAAATTTACAAACGAATTAGATACAAAAAATACAATCTATTGCCCCTTTACTATTCAAGATCAACCTGCAAGTAGCTAACTAATCTGTACAAATTCACCTGTGTTTCTAATCATTTTCTTAAATACTTTACAAACATAATTCATTCATAGTACCTGAACTATAGTTGCAACCTTGTTTCTTCTTCTTCTTCTGAACTCATCTCTTGCAACCATTGCTCTAAACCTAGTCTGAATAGATACAATAGGTCCTTGTCAATTATGTGAAAAATACAACAGAAGAGTGGCCTACCTTCATAATAGCAACAACTAAAGAAGCAGGAATGAAAGAGAAGGCAATACTCACAACAAACTTCGATAAATAAATTTTATAAAGAGAAACATTAATGAAAATGTAATATATCATTGTATTGTATGGTAGAATGGAATTAGGGAAGGAATGGAATGGAATGGTTCATTCCATTCCATCCAACGAAACAAAACCTAAGCATAAACACAAGGAATCATACCTCTACAAGTTTGTGCCCACTCTTTACAAGTTTCCACCTTTCCTTATCCAAACATAGCACTTGAATATCTCCATCATCATATAACAAAATTAGTTAAAAAAACAGGGTCAACAGGCAAAACAAGTCTAAAGTTGACAAAGTGTATTCAAATGAATACAACCTCCTAAATAGTTATTATTAATAAAATTAGATAGCTATTTTGATCATATCTAGTCATGTCTAAGTTTCAAAACTTTTAAGAGGGAGTAGTGGATTGCACCTGAAGTGGATTGCACATTTGCAGTGGTAGCGGGATTTCTCCAGGTTGGATTCAACGGTGGTCTTCCGGTGGTGGATGGTGGTCACCGAAAAACAACACATCAGTAAAAAAAACAAATCAAAGCATCCTTAACTGTTCTGTGGGCAGTAGCCATCGGATTTTGGGGGTGTTCAACGGTGGCCACCGCAAGAATGTCAACCAGAAATTAGCCACCACAAAAATATTAATTTATCCAATAGTATTAAAATTTTAATTAATCAGGTTTTTATGATATAACCCTGGAAAGAAGAGAAATTTTATGATATTCTTGCCTTAAATGCACTCAGTAATTTTATGATATTCTTGCCTTAAATGCTTGGAATCTGACTGCACGGATTCTTTAATCTCCTGGAACTAATGAATTATACTTTCTACTTTCAGTACAATATATAAACATAACCCAAAACATGATAATGATAATGATAATAAAAGAAAAGATACCATACATGTAGCTTTGGGTAGATTTGTGACATGGCAATTAATCCCCACAACATCAAGCCCTGATGATCCCTATTATTTCCAAATGAAGCAATTTAATGCAGTTTGAAAGAGTATAATAACTAGTGGTAAGTTATTAACCTTTAGATTTCTGACTTGATGGGCACATCCAGTAGGTATTAAGACAGCATCTCCAAGCTTTTGGACAAAACACCATGCTTCAATCCCTAATCACAACCAAAAAATAAAGCACATTCAGAGATTTTATATCAGTGAGAAAGGTGATACATAACACACCTTGCAAATGCATACTAACCAAACTCTTCCTTGAGCTTCCTTTTATGGTCCATGGTTAAGAAAATTTTTTGATCATGAATTGGGTGTATAACCTGGACCAAATAAAATACAATTGAACAATTTAAAAAATTACTATGTAGGATTGTGATGCCACACATAAAAGAATTTCAACTAAAAGTAAGGATTAATACCTGCTGTAGTGGAAGACAGAAGGAATGTCTAAACTCTCTGAAATGTTTTTTGAGATATTCTTCGAGTTTAGGAGTATCTTCCCTCCTAAATATGTCCAACAAAGCACCTCCATCTCCTAAATCAGATCCAACCACACAAGTACCTGAAGTATCATCCTGGTTATCACCTTCTTCACTATTAAAAGATATCACTTGTTTCCTGCCCTTCTTTTTCTTTCGTTTATTTCCATCTGGTCCCTCAACTCTTTTATTTGAACCCTTTCTCTTCCTCTTATCTTTTTTATCAATGTCAAACTCAACTCCTTCACAACTTTCCTTCTTCAATAAATATTGATCTGATAGATTACTAGTAGTTTTATGCCCTTCTTCTTTCTTCGACCCAACAACTTGCTCAGAAGTAGCATCTTTTGTGTTATCAACATAAAGTTCCTTCTGATCCTAAGCAATGTGCAGCCTTTTTAATACATTTATCCTTTTACAATGTTTAGAGTCGAGGGTCACAGTTGCAGCATGAGTCAGCACATTCACCTGCATGTCACTAGAAAAAATATTAACGAATGAAAAGATATAAAATCCAGAACAGATAGGGTGTGCAAAACAGAGAATATAGCTCTTCGAAATAACTCTTCACAAGAAAAGCTAACATGACAGTTTCAATTTTTTGTAAAATGGTTTTATTTTGACATACCAAAATGTTTAGTTCGGGGTTTTGTCTTCTTAAAATAAAGCTAGAGATGATTTTATATTGTAAATCAAAAATAGGCATTGCAAATTTATGTTTAACTTGGATAGTAAATATTCAGCTACTTCATAAAGTTCGCTTCACTTTACTTTTCTAATTAGTGATTCTTTTTTCCATGGTGAGTCCAAGAAGTACTGCAATTACTGCTTTTTATTCTTTAATAATAGAAAAAAGATGAGAAACAGAAGAGGGTTGTTGGTTTCTTCCAACAGATCAAGAAAGGTTCAAAAAAATTAAGATTGCATTCCAGTAATATATGCAATCCCCATGTAGTATATATGAGACTCTCATAAATTGCAAGTAAACGAACTTTCATGACAGCTTCTGTTATATTTCTTTTAAAGATAGTGAAGTCATCAGCAAACCAATTCCTTCTCATACAAATTGAAATGGCAACTTCTATAACTAAAAGGTTAAAAAGAAAAACGTGATGATGCCTAAAGAGCAAAATTCAGTTCCAATGATACTAGATGAAATCCAACATTGGTGATCATGTCTTTGCCTAAAATCAGAATAGAAAATTTCAAGCAGAAGAATTTGGCATAACCAAACAGAAAAAAAAACATACCACATCATACTTGTGACTATGAAGTTTAGTTACAGAGTCTCAACGTCCCAATTCTTCAGAAACACCATAAGCTATATATGTTTTAGGACCCATGTCTGGCTTACAAGATTCTTCATGCAATTTGACTGCAAGATTAAGGTAGCCATCACGTGGATGTGTGTACTCTTTAAAGTGTAAACAAGTGATGAATTCAACACATGACGTGGCAGCCGTTCTTTAAATGAATTTAATGGAGGCCAGTACTCTTTCAGCTTTAGGATCTGAGGCCACCCTTCAGTGTCATATATACCATCCGTATACCAAGTAAAAAACTTTTGAAGATTAACATCAACCTGCATGTCATGAGAAAAGTTGATTAGGCATGTAATATATCTCAATGTAGTTTTAACTTAAAGGCAAACAACAACTAAACCCAAATCCTATATAAATGGGGTAAGAGGGAGGTAAGATGTATACAGTCGTATTTTCACCCAAAGGTAGATAGAATGCTTTCATAGATGACATCTGGCATATGAAACGTGAGCTCACAATGATGAATAGAGGGGAGAAAAAAAAGCACATACAAAGCAATAAGGTTGAATAAAAAAAGGACAACAGTAATGAGGAAAATCACTCCCTAATATTTTTTATTATTGCATTCAGTATCTTATCCCACACAACATGTCCACCAAACTATCCTTATTTCCACAAGTTCAATATTCCTCTCATGTTCCTTCTTAATCAGACAAAGTCAACACATTTAGCCTAACTGCCACCCTATAATACTTCCCCTCAGTTTCAGATGGTAGATATCTCCCTCTCCCGCCTTCTGGTACCCTTCCCTTCAGGGTCCTCAAAATGTCTCTTCTAGTATAGTATCATACACCTTCATCATGATAAACACACAAATATAGAGATCCCAATTTCTTTCTCTACATTTTCTATGTAAGGCATCTGAAGAGGTGGAACCTCATGATACTATACTAGGAGAGAAGTTCATATCAATAGAAATAGAAAATGTTCTCCCAAGCTTGTATGAACTGTATACATCCACCAATCACCTCTAACACTAGATGACTAGAAAAGTAAATAAAAGATATAAAATATAAAAGTACTTATCCAACCTCACACCAATCCAAACAGTTAATAACAGCCTCATCTGAGAGCTTGTTTTCTTTGGGATTTGAAGCCCAGCGAAAAGCACGCCACATGACCATGGGTTCCCAGCTCAACCCAAGTGTAGTTTCAAGAACATTACTGACAATCTCAGGTTCCCCTTTTGACCAATGCCACTGGAAATGCTTCAAATCTCCATGTTGAATGTCTATTGCTCGTGGACAATACAAGTAATTGTCTCTAGAATTTTCACGGGAAGTAGCTTTTCGTAATTGCTGATCACCACCATCTGAAGAACATGTGCACCATTTCTCAGGCATATCCCTCATATCTTCCTCCAGTTTGTGCATCTTTAAGATATTTTATGCTTTCTCTAGCAATTTTGAAACACTGTCAAGTGACTTTATGTGCATCAACTCTAGAATCCCACGACCACAACCACCCATGCTTTTTGGAGGGAAAAGAATTATGCCATCAACCAAAGAATTCCAGTCATGAGTTTGCTTTTCCTTTGGTGTAGGATCTTCATCAGCCTTCTCAACATAACATGTCTTTTTCCATGCTTTCCTGAATCCCTTAGGGTTGCCATGTAAGTACTCAGGCCCTGGATCTTTAGGTTCAATGATAACTTCTTCTTTGTTTCCTTGAGGGTTGCCATCTCGCAATTCCCAGCAACATTGAAGGCAAAGGTTATAATAACAAGAAGGGCAGCTTCTATGCAAGTCAAAAATTGATGTTTTACAACAGTCACTGCATATATCAGGGAACAATCAAAACAGGAATACATCACCCAAGAAACAAAATCCTTAAAGACTTGTACAATCATTGAAATGACATACCAGTGAATTTGCTTATCCAAGTTGCACTCTACCTTCTTCAACTGTACCTCCGATATAGAAGATCCTGTCTAAGTAATAAAGTCAGGAAAACCTACATAAAGTATGGCTGATTGCCATTTATCCATTCATATTGAGTTAAAGGTCAAAGATTCAAGTTCGTGTCATCCATTATGAGATCATCTATAGAAATTAAGTTAAAATGATGAAGGACGAGACTTGAGACTTCAAGTTGAGAAGTTAAGCAGAAGAAATGACTTTCCTTGCATTTCCATGAAGTCTCAACAATGAACTTATCTAACTCAAACCTTTTCCCATAAGAATGAAATAGTCATCATCATTAGTCAAGAATCATATATATGGCATCACTGATTTGGATTAGATACAATGTGAACTAGAAGGTCCACATTTTAAATAAAGCAAGAAAAATGAGATAAACAGCAAAAAAATACCTTGAATTCTAGACTCTATTGCTATCTCTTTCATGTGCTGCTCATTTACATGCTTCAAGAACGGAAAAAGCACATGTAGGATGTAAATAGAATATTGAACTTTCTGATCATCATTACGTTTGAAATCAATCTTCTCTTTGACCTAAAACCAACAACAAATTCAGTATTAAATTTCTTATCTGGTTGAGAGTAAGATCATCAATAAGTTCCATAACAAAAGATGAGCTATAAGAACCAACTATATTGTACACATTTCGCAAGCAATTTATAGAGTTGTTGTTGCCTTGGCAAACAGGGAAACACTCAACAAACATTTCCTCTGTCATGTTAGGGTACCTACAGAACATAATAAACAAAGAGAGAAAGATGAAAACTGCCAACGATTTAACTACAGTCTGCTTAAAAGACAATTTTCTACAATTGCGCATCAAGTTAGTAAGTTACGGAAGCATGCTTCTATAAAGGTCAATAATGGCTATTTGTTGCACCAGCAAAAAAATGTAGCAACGCTGATACCAACACTGAAGTTTAGTTACAGAGTCTCCACGTCCTAATTCTTCAGAAACTCCATAACCTATATATGTTTTAGGACCCATGTCTGGCTTCAAATATTTTTCAGGCAACTTGACAGCAAGATTAAGGTTGCCATCACAAGGATGTGTATATTCTTTGAAGGGCAAGGAAGTGATGAATTCAACACCATGACATGGCAACCGTTCTTAAAATGAATTTGATGGAGGCCAGTCTTTCAGCTTTAGGATCTGAGGCCACCCTTCAGTGTTATATATACCGTCCGTATACCAAGTAAAAAACTTTTGAAGATTAACATCAACCTGCATGTCATGAGAAAAGTTGATTAGGCATGTAATATATCTCAATGTAGTATTAACTTAAAGGCAAACAACAAGTAAACCCAAATCCTATATAAATGGGGTAAGAGGGAGGTAAGATTTATACAGTCCTGTTTTCGCCCAAGGGTAGATAGAATGCTTTCACAGATGACCTCTAGCATATGAAACGTGAGCTCACAAGGATGAATAGAGGGGAGAAAGAAAAAAACACATACAAAGCAATAAAGTTGAATGAAAATAATGGGACAAAAATAATGAGGAAAATCACCCCCTAATATTTTTTATTATTGCATTCATTATCTTGTCCCACACAACATGTCCACCACACTATCCTTATTTCCACAACTTCAATCTTCCTCTCATGTTCCTTCTTAATCAGACAAAGTCAACACACTTAGCCTAACTGTTATACCTCTAGATCCCAAATTCCCTGTATGTTGAAGTGACTTAATTTTTTCAACTTTAAATGCTACAGACTAGGTTTTTTTCTCATAATTCAACATATATTACATTTAAAACTATGCACGCGTATAGAAATGACGCGGCATTGAAGAACCCTAGCTAGGATAGAAAAGAAAAAGTCATAGAAGAAGGTCTGGATGAGCATTAAATGTTGGATGATTGATTGAAGATTTAGGGTTCGGTTTACCTGGCAGCGGGGGTGGGAGGATGAGGAGATGAATTGCAGAAGAGTAATGGGCAATATCAAATGTTTTTCTATTTCTCGGACAAACTTGGGGTAGCTTTTGGAATCAACGGGCATTGATTGAAGATTTAGGGTTCGTCCCATCTTTTTCTTGAAACCTGTCATCATATCTCTTGGAAATAAGATCGACTTCCAGTGAATCTCTAATTTCTGGAATCATTTGAAGTTTTCTCAATAGAGAAACATTATTCAACAGAAAAGGGAGAATGGGGATGAAATATCGAGAGAGAGAGAGAGAGAGAGAGAGAATACAGATGGTCGAGAATGAGTAACCATCAACTTACCTGATCGGAGGAGCAATGAAGACAACTTGCACGTTGATTTGTGGAGGAGGAAAGGCTACCTATACCTTAAATCATGCTTTAATCGGACCTATATAGGGCTTCACTAGTTCATAGATGGCGACATGGATAAGTCGCAAAGCCCTTAATCTCCTTGTAAGTTTTACATAGGCATAATGTAATGATCCCTAAATCATATTACTGTCAGCGTGAGGAGTCGTAAATTGTTGGCTCTTAAACGAAGGCTTGTAAAATTAATCAGTCATCGCAGTCTTGGTGAGGTGAGATGAGCTCGAGGTCGCCAGTGGGAAGAGTTGAGCGGAGGTCTCCGGAGGTAAAAGGTGAGCGGAAGTGAGCAGATGTAACGAACTTTGCAGAGAGCATCCTTTTGAAAAAACCCTTTGTTATGAGATGAACAGTACGCGCAGTCTGAGGCTAGAGGATGCAACAATTATTGGCGGCGGTGGATGTGGGTGAGGGTCGGGGTGGAGACGAGGAAAAAGAAGGCGCGTGTTTAAAAAATTTGGGATTTCATTTTCCCTTCAAGGAGAACCGCGTTTCATAAAAAAATATAAAACGACATTCACAGAGGACGCACTTGTGCCCTCCGTGTTTTTTATTTTTTACATTAGACACTAATTTAAGGGCACTCAATAATGCGTGACTTAAATCCTTAAATTTTTTAAAGAGATGACACTTTTTTAATATCACTCTCTTTTGCGTAACATAAATCAACGAGTGTCGTGGTTTGCGCGTTGTAAAAGGCTCTTTTTCTTGTAGTGATTCCTTAAGATAGTCGAGGAACTCTGTACTAAGATACTCACCACCACGATCGAATCGAAGCATCTTAATGTTCCTGCCCAATTGATTCTCGACTTCCTGTTTAAACTTTTTAAACCTTTCAAAAGTCTCTGACTTATGCTTGATTAAATAGACACATCCATATCTACTATAATCATCAGTAAAAGTCAAATAATAACGATTAGCATCCCTTGTGGCAAATTTGAAGGGTCCACACACATCCATGTGCACTAGATACAACAAACCTTCACCCTTATCACAAGAACTAGTGAAGGGTGATTTTGTCATTTTTCTAAGTAAGCATGATTCACAACTATCATCTGACTTTAGGTCAAATGACTCCAAGACTCCATCCTTTTGGAGTTGGCTTATGCGTTTCTTGCTCACTTGTCCAAGACAAAAATGTCATAATGATGCTTTATCCAAGTTATTATTATCAGAAGAATCAATACACAACACATTATTTCCTAAATTATCTACAATAGATACAACTTCATACACACCATCACAAGGTAATGCTTTAAAATAAAGAACATTATTAAAGAAAGCATTTATTCCACCATTTTCATTATCAAAAGAAAAGGTAAACCCTTGTTTGTATAAAGCATGAAAGGAAATAATATTTTTTGACATTTCTGGCGAATAACATCATTTATTCAAATCTAAAGTAAACCCACTACTTAGCAACAAAGAATAAACTCCAATCTTGGTGACAGGTGAGGCTTTCCTATTCCCCATGATCAAGTTTATCTTTCCATGCTCCACATTCTCACTTCTTCTTAGTCCCTACAAATCATAATAGATATGAATACCACAACCTGTATCAAGGACCCAAGAGTTAGAATAGGGTGAGTTATTAGATAGAATAGTGTAAATACCTGCATGGTTGGTTTTAACTTTCCCATCCTTCACATCTTGCTGGTACTTTGGGCAGTTTCACTTCTAATGCGATTTTCATGGCAATAGAAGCATTCAGCCTCTTTTGGGTTAGAAGAAGGAGTGACGAAACCTTTCTTGGTTCCACTTGAAGAAGAGCCATCAAGGGTACTAGCCTTGGTACCCTTTGAAGAGCTCTTCCTCTTCTTCCCTCTACCTTTCCCGATTCCCAAGATAGGGGCGGAGTTTGGAGTAGGAGTAGGAGTGTTAACAACCAACTTACCTTTAATACATGTTTATGCGGTCTTTAGGAGTCCTTGAAGTTTGCTGAGTGTGACTAATTCCTTATTCATGTGATGTGTCATGCGGAATTGATCATAACACGAGGCTAAGGAGTGCAAAATGATATATATTGCAAGCTCCTCCGGGAAGTTCACATTAAGCTTCAACAAACAGTCCATGTACTTTTGCATTTTCTACATGTGGCCCGTGACGGAATCTCCGTCCTTCATCCTGGTTGTTATTTATGGGTTTTAGCCATATGAACATTCCTATGTGCACATACAAACCCTAATGCTTGGATCTAGGTTTCTCTAATTGAACATGCATGAATCCAAGACTTCTAATGATCATTCTATCATAATAGCATTGAGAAATCAGAGTTATAAGTTTACCTTGAATCACTTATTTGATCTTCTTATTCTTGGAGCTTTAGAGTCACAATTGTCAATCCTCTAATGGCTTACAAACACCAACTAGCAAGAGGATGATTTGAGAGAGTGGGGAGGGACTTAGAAATCGGCCAGGGTTTCTCTAGAGACAAGAGGTGCCGATTTCCATGACCCCTAGGGTCTATTTATACTTGTAAGGCTCCTAGGGTTTTACCTTTAAACCCTAATTGGATAACTTAAGCCCTAAGCAATCCTAATCCCTTCATGATAAGCCTTGGACGAATTTAGGTCTATCCTAAGCCCCTAAAATCGTCCACCCCATTATCCATCAGGGATTATAGCCTAAAGTACAACTATCATACACTTGACAGTTTAAGCCCTTCTATTTAATTAATCTCTTTAAGTCACCAAATTAATTCCTAATTAATTTATGACTTATATTAATCAAATAACAATATTATTATTCCTTATAATATTTCAACTCTCATTGTAAATCATCCTATCAAGTTGCTATGATGAAGGCAACTCAAAAGGACCATGCTCAATCGGGTCAAATACTTGCTTAATATAGTTGCAGCCTTAGATATTATTCCAACAGTCTCCCACTTGGATAAGTCTAGTAACTATATACCGATTAGCAATCATAGCTCTCAAAGTCACTGTCAAACTCTGATCTAATCAATTTTGTCCTTTAGATAAGGGATCGTACAGTCCTCTGTATAGACATCATGTATACAATCAAATGGAACTACTTGTCTAGCATTTGGTTTCTCGATCTCAGATTTATTTTACATAGAACTTAATCGAACACATCAATTCAGTTCTGACCGAGCTCGACACATAAGTCAAATCAAATCCTCGAGCGGCCGAGATATCGCTTTTACCTTCTTAGGATAAAAGTAACAGATAAACTTCGACTTATATGCATTTACTTATTTATTATTCAACTATACACAACAATGCGTTTTATAACATCAAGTTATTGATGCGGTTTCGCACAATCAATGTACAACCAATTAACAAATAACAAACCATATATCTAGGTTTTAAGACCATATGATATTATCGTCTTGCGATCACCCTTTTGTCATATTCCATAAGGTGATTCCAGCAAGCGCGGGTTTGTTCCAATGCTCAAAACTAGTTCATAAGCACTCATGAACGTTGCAGTAAACTTTTGCTATGTCTAATATCATTTAGACAATTTACACACCAATTCATGACAATCTTCATTCATACCTACTTCCAACATATGAACGGTTGTGGACAATTTGAATAATTCGATTATTCTTAATAAACTCAATTATTCTGGAAGTCAAAACATGCAAAATGAAACAATAGTTAAACAATTAACATAAGACAGTAACATTACTCATAAATAATACTCTTTTATTTAATCATCAAATGTTAATTACATTTATCTATCACGCGTTTCTAACACTATCTAATCTATACTAATATCATCCTTCAGCCCAATGCTCCTAGCATGCTGCAAGTGCTTAACCCTGCTCAGTCCCTTCGTAAGCGGATCTGCTGGGTTATCTTCTGATGATATCCTCTTCACCACGAGTTGTCCTTCTTCTACACGATGTATTATAAAATGATATTTTCTGTCGATATGTCGAGATCTATCATGATCCCTTGGTTCCTTGGTCAAGGCAACCGCTCCTTCATTATCATAGAAAATCTCCATGGGCTCCTTTATGGCAGGTACAACTCCAAGATCACCAATGAAGTTCTTTAACCATATTGCCTCTTTCGACGCTTCGCCCGCTGCGATGTACTCTGATTCGCACATTGAATCAGCTACGGCTTCTTGTTTGGAACTTTTCCAAGTTACTGTTCCTCCATTCAGGGTAAAGACCCAGCCAGACTGCGAACGGTAGTTGTCCCTGTCGGTCTGAAAGCTGGCGTCACTATACCCTCGCACCTTCAAGTCATCACTCCCTCCGAGGACTAAAAACCATCCCTTGGTCCTCCGAAGGTACTTAAGGATATTCTTCATCGCAATCCAATGGGCTCTGCCAGGGTTCCCTTGATATCTACTAACCATTCTCAAACCAAAGGCTACATCAGGGCGAGTACAAGTCATAGCATACATGATTGAGCCAACTACGGAAGCGTATGGTACTCGGCTCATTTCTGCTATTTCGGCTTCGGTACTCGGACTTTGAGTCTTACTCAACTTGGCATTATATTGTATCGGTAATTCTCCCTTCTTCGAGTTTTCCATACTAAAACATTTTAGTACTTTATCTAAGTAAGTGTTCTGACTAAGTCCTATTAGTCTCTTACTTCGTTCTCTCACTATCCTTATTCCCAGAATATAGGAAGCCTCTCCGAGGTCCTTCATAGCGAAGCACTTCCCGAGCTAGGACTTAATCTCCTGCAGTGTCAGGATGTCGTTTCCTATGAGCAGTATGTCATCGACATACAAAACGATAAAGCTAACTATACTCCCACTGGATTTGAAATATAC